GTGCCAGGGGACAGGTGGTTAACTGATTGTTCGTCCTCTGGCCGAGTGGACCATAGCTTGCTAATTGAACACAGACGCTCTCAGAACCCAAATCCCGACGTTGGTTTTGAATAAATGTATTTTCTTTTAATTGAATGTATGTTTGCACTTTGTTCGTTCCTCAGCTGCGAGTCTGCACCAACCAAAACACTGTCTTTGGTTATCAACATGAATACTTGAAAGGAACATAAAATTATCTGTCACTAGAAAAACATGAACTTTCAGACGTACTTAAAGTTCTGTGAGGTCACAAAACCCTGCTTACTCTTTCCCTCCCAGGCTTCCAGACTTTTTGTTCTTAGCGTTTACATGTGGACGGGATTAAAAAAATGAAAATGGAAAATCTCAAAAACACTCTTAAACCCACCGTCACAGAGTTACACCTGTGTGAGAGCAGTGGGGTCAGGGGGTCTTCTTCTGTAACAGCAGCAGTACTGACAACTCTGTGTGTGTCTCAGCTCAGCGTGCATCGGGGTCAGCTGCAGGCCGCCTCGGGGTTCCTCCATCAGGCCGTTGTTCTCGCTCATCAGACGCACAACAACCAGGCCATCATCTACACCTACAGCCTGGTAACATCTGACCTCTGACCTCCGTGAACTTCTCACACACACACTAAGCTGTTTACCTGTTTATCGCTCACCTGTGTCCTCAGATGGCGAACCTGGCCTACGTGCAGGGTCAGCTGGACAGCGTGAGTATCTGCTCCATCACAGAGAGGAAACGGTGACACCTGCTGGTGGAGGCTGGGACTGATCACACAGCACACAAACACTAATCGACTGTCACAGCAAATGTTTGTTATGATCAAAAACAATGTGAAGAAACGTTCAGTTTGTAAACAGGCATGAGCGTTTGTTTTTGTGTCACATGTTGGAGGCGGGGCCTCTAACGTGAGCATGTGCTTTAGAGGATATGCTGGGCTTCTGTCAGGTGGACTCAAGCCGGTCCGTGTCACAGCGCATGCTTAGAATAGGACGGTTGTCGTCGGGCAGTTGCGTGGAGATGATCAGGGCAGCGTTTAGCACCGATGGCTCAGTGATGGTGCCGGAGACGCCATCTGGGTCAGACGCCGGACTTGCAGATCATGTCAGGTGATACTGATGTACGACACGTCTGCAGCAGACCTGTCCTCCATCTTTGTTTGTGCTGTTTGAGCAGTATGAGGGGTCCACAGTGACATTCAGCAGGTAGGCCACGCCCCCAAATGCTCCAGTGGACCTGCCATCAAACAGGAAGTGAAGTTGTTGCCCTCCATTTACAGAAACAGGAAGTATACCTAGAGAAAGCGTCCCCCTGTGTGAGCGTTATCCTGACGTCATTAGAAGTTTCCACCTAAACATGATGCAGCATGTTCTGAAATTCAAACGTACAGCTCTGCTGTCACTTCCAACATGAATGAAGACAGAAAACTAAACAGCAGTGACGTTTGTAGGGTTGCTGAAGTTGGGCTAGCTGCTATATAATCATGTGCTGCGTGATCGCTAGCTACGCAGCTATGTTAGCATAAACACAGTGAAGCTGGAGGATGAGCGCTAACACTTTTCCACTCGGTGGTTAGAGACAAATGTAATCGCATGGCAGGATGCTGTAAACGGACCAAACTTCAGTCAGGAGAACAACTGAGATAATCCATCCACAATACGAGGTTAGTCATTCATATACTGCTGCTGGGCTGCAGCTACATCGGAAGGTTTTAAACAACTTTAAAATGAACAGTGGTGATAAAACCCGAGAGGCCGACAGTGATCACTGACTGTTTTTAGGGGCCTGTTCAGATTAAATAGAAAATTTAAAACGTGAAACACAGCAGCCTTAATAAACACAGACGTTTGTTCATACGTCGTCATTAAAGCCAGATAGCTCTGACGAGCTCAGCGTTCACACACAGCTGACCGGTTTCTCCTCCGCTCGCTCTCGACGTTCGTTCTCGGCGACCTCGTTAATGTGAAGCATTTTTTCGCAGCCAAGCGTCTGTCTGCTATTGGCGGGTCCTCTGTGATGTCATCCTTTGTGCTCCTGTTTCTCGCAGGCTGAGAAACTCTTCAAAGCGGCGATGAGCTTCATGCTGGCGGGAGGAACTCCGCAGGTCAGTGCTCGTTCGTTTCACCTGGAATTCAGCGGGTGAACCCACCTGATTTCCTGTCTGTTTCCAGGACGACAATGCCGTCATCGAGATGTCGCTGAAGCTGGCCACCATCTACGCCGAGCAGAACAAGTGAGGGCAAATTCAGCCGGTCAGCTGACAGGAAGCTGAGGTCACAGCTCCCTGACTTTCTGTGTGCTTTCTTGTTTGAGGGCGGAGCTTGCAGAGCACGGTTTCAGGTTCTGTATGGAGTCTCTGGAGGTGAAACTGGAGAAGCATAAAGAGCTCCTGGGAGAGGAGCCCACAGGTGAGTGGCACAGGGGGGCGGAGTTAGAGCGGGTCGCCTCCGTCTCTTTGAGCCGTGTCACATGAACCCCTTTGCCTTTGAATAAAATCAACATAAGGAGGGAGGAGCTTAACAGCTGGTTACAGGTGAGCTGAAGGAGGAATCAGCAGATCCTGCAGAGTTTGGTGGGCTCGTTAGTCCCTCTGCTGGGACTCGAAGGCAGACGCTTGCTGCTGAGTTCAAACGTGATCATGAAGTCACGTGACTAACCTGCGTGTCGCCCTCAGAGGAGCAGGAGGCTCTTAGGAAGGAGACCCGCCTCCTGCTCGGGCTGTGTTTGGACTCACGGGCTCGGTACCGAGCGTCCACGCTGCACCTGAAACAGGCTGGACAGGATTACCAGGACGCCCTGAACATCTGCTGCCAGGAGCAGGGAGAGACACACCCACAGGTAGTCACGCCTACAGGTAATCACGCCTACAGGTAGACTCGTCGGTCGGTATCTAAACTCTTCTTCGTGTCTCTGTCAGACCCTTGTGCTGATGAGCGACCTGGCCACCATCTTGGATCTGCAGGGTCACCATGACGATGCCCTGGCACTGGTCCGGCGGGCGGTGGAACTGAGCCGCTCAGCCGGACACCCGGACCTCCACGTGCTGCTGGGAAACATGGCGGGCATCCTGCTGCACACAGGTGAGCAAGGAACAGAGATCGGGGGGCGGGTCTTACTCCGCCCGTCTCACGCCGTCTGGTTCTGTCCCTCAGGCCGGCTGGATGACTCACTGCGGTTCTACCAGGAGGCTCTGGGTCTGGCCCGGCAGGCCGCAGACCAGGAGGCTGTGGACAGGATCCAGGAGGGACTGAAGGAGGTAAAGGAGAGGAGGAGGCAGGAGGAGGAAGAGGCAGCTGCAACCGCTCAGTGACCCAGGCTCATCAGAACCGCGCCTCCTCCTTCGACTCCACTTCTTCTTCTGTGGTGTTTGCCCTCTCATTGGTAGCTCCGAGGACCCGCTCTGTGTTCTGCTGCTCCGCTGAGAAACACCCAAAACCAGCCGGGACTGAAATCTGCTCCAGAACCAATCAGAACCAGGACAAAGGTCCAGACCCTGAACACGCCCACCCCTCCCCCATCAGTGCTGAAGCTGCAGCTCACCTGTGAGCTCACCTGTCAGCAGGAGACATAAATATTTATGAAGCTGCAAAGGTCGTCACGTGTTTTTCTTTGAACTTTACTGGTCCTCGCGGGGCTGAAGGCCTTTTGCACACTCAGAACGTGGTCTTAGTGTCAGGGCCACAGGTGGGTCATGGTTAGGGTTATGTCAACTGTCCCCACAAGGTTATGAATACACACACGTGTGTGTGAGTGCGCATGTGTGTGTGTCTGACTGATAAGCACAGAAACATGACTGTCACCTGTGACCTTTGACCTTTGACAGTGTGAACATTATTCATAAGGATGTTCCACAATCACGTCCTCGGTCAGCGCTCAGGGGACCAACAGCCCGTCTCCACGAGTCTGAACACATGTTTGAGTCTCCAAATGTGGTTTTAGTGTCAGGGTGACAGCAGCACATTACGTCCTCACTAAGACAGAAAAACAAGTATGTGTGTGTGCGCGTGCACAGGTTCCCACAGAGTGTGACGCAGGTGAACTTCCTGTTTCTGTTTACAGAACATGTCAGAATAAAAGCTCACTGATTACGGTAAATGAGAATCAGCTGCTGCTGCAAAAACAACAGATTAGCACTCACACACACATTAGAATCTTAATGGCTTCTGTGTGTGTGTGTGTGTGTGTGTGTGTGTGTGTGTCTGACTGAGTAGCACAGAAGCATGAATGTCACCTGTGACCTTTGACCTCCCACAGTGTGAGCTGTGTGTCTGAATTCAGAGGCGGATGCTTCAAAGGCCGCGTTTGTATGCAATGATGTCACAGCAGCGCGACAAAGGCTGCCCAGTTTCAAAGAGTCCTTCAAATGTGGCGACAAATGCGTCCTTCTTTGCCCCGAATTCTAAGGATGGGTCCGATGTGTCCTACTATATCCCAGGAAGTGGCTGTTTGGCTAAAAACCAGCTGTTAGCCGTGATGTTGGGCTTTGTAAAGCACTTTATGAATGAGGGCTGAGTCTGTGTGAACCGGGGGACAGGTGTGAGCCAGGGGACAGGTGTGAGTCAGGGGACAGGTGTGAGCCAGGGGACAGGTGTGAGTCAGGGGACAGGTGTGAGCCAGGGGACAGGTGTGTGCCAGGGGACAGGTGTGAGCCAGGGGACAGGTGTGTGCCAGGGGACAGGTGTGAGTCAGGGGACAGGTGTGAGCCAGGGGACGGGTGTGTGACAGGGTACGGGTGGTTAGCGGACCCTAAAACAGACTTTTCCTCCTCTGGCCGAGTGGAACATAGCGCTGATACGATTAGCGCTATTTTATGCAATAAAATAATCTTTGTGTTCCCGAACAGGTCGCTAGGTCACAGCTTAGAACACGCCCATCACACCAAAGACAGGACCGTGTGTTACTGAAGCACGAGCATCAGCACTGAGACCTGATCCTGGAACAGAACACAGGACTACAAAGTGTATATAAGGAGACAGGGAAGGACATAAGGAGACAGGGAAGCAAATAAGGAGACGGGGAAGATCAAAAGTCTTTCATGCGGCTGATGTCGTGAGAATGTAAAGGTCATTATATGAACACACACACACACACACACACACACACACACACACACACACACACCTATACGTTCCCATAGGCACCGTCACACCTGAACAAGTTAGGTACAGTCATCATTTACCTGTAAACACACACACGGTGG